GTATGTTGAAATCTTTGTGAGTCTTCCTTCTGGCTCGTGCATCAGTCAGTGCTTGTGGTTGCCAGCTATTCAAACATATCCTTGTCTTGAGTCCGTATTTTTCTTTAATTTAGTGGTGGCAAAAACAAAAAACAAAACCCCAAAACGAAACAACCCTCCAAAAATGTTGCCTCTGAAATCAAAACCGAAAAAAAAAATGTTTGTTCTTTTGAAACTGTGATCTCAAAGGTTATTTTTAAATGAATTTATTAACGCTCCTAGGTAAGGTTCTTTATATTGCAATAAACAAGTACTTGTATGCAAGGAAATCTCCGCAAAATACATTGCACAGGTGCTACGCATCTTAGGGATTTGAAAGGTGTGTTATGTATAAATTAGCTGTCAACTTTTTTTCAATCCTGTAATGGAATGATGAGTCGTAATTTGCATAATCCTTTAAGAAGTCAAATTATACTGTCATGTAGCAGACTTAACATGCTAGCTAAGATTTCAGAGCTCTGCAGCTAATTACTATGTACCTTACAGGACAGTTAAATTGAAGTTGAGTCCTCTGCTTTTGCTGCCATTTGCCTTGCCTTGTCCCTTTACTTAACAGAATCAGCACTGCTGGTAACGAGGTGTTGTTCCTCACACTGAAGTGAAGACGCTGCTCAGGGGAGGCATGGACATTTCAATATATCATGGAATGACTTGTATTGCTTTTGTTTAAGAAGACTTAAAAAATATGCCAAAAGGGTCTTCAATAAAGGAGAGAAATTTATACTTTCCAGACAAGCTATTGCCTATTGATTGAAGGAACACTAACAATTCCCTTCTAGAAAATGTAATGCAAACCTCGTTGCACTAAAATCAGGAGCTTTTCTTGGGATATCTTACAATAGACGCTGGTGTGCTTTCATCCTCAGCCTCTGACCTGTTTTGTAGTACAGTTTCTATTGGGAAAATAATCACCCCCTTTTCCTTAGCGCCATTTCTGAGTGTGAACTGGGGAGCTCTCGTTTTAGTGTACAGATGGTAGAGCATGTTCTTTCGTGGTTTCTATTGACAAATATCAGGGGATGTTGGCACCTTTGAAGGCGCATCTCTGAAATGAGTAGACATTGGATATTCCTGGAGCCCGCCGGACCTGGTCATTACTTGACTTTCCCTGGCCTACATAGTGTTATTCGCATCATCAGCAATGGTGCAGTTATCATGCAAAACTATTTCTAGTGCTAAATTTTTTTTTTTAAATTTTTTTTTTTCTAGTGCTAAATTTTAAAAAAGTGGTCAGCCATGTTTATTGTAACTCTTGCTCACTAGGTTTTAGTAATTTGTTAGTGGTTTTGTGAGGAAGGAGTGTTTGAAGAAGGCTTTTTTTTTGTTTGATAAGAAGAGATTTCTTGACGGACGATGTTAAAACATCCGTTGCGCTGTTGACCATTCAAGCAATGTGATGAAGAGTCAGCATCTCCGTGTGTAGTTAAAGGCCATTTCACAGGGCTGTAATCAGTCCCTGCTTAGAGGTTGCGGCTGGCCAATTGAGAGGCAGGAGCCTAGAAGGGGTGACCGGGACTTGGGCTCACAGAAAAGCTTCTCTTCCAACTGTAGGGGTTCCTCTCCTGGGCTTGCCTTTTAAAGACTCGGTGTTATTTGTAGGCAAGGTGGAGACAGTAGGCAGCACAGCTGTGACTGCCAGGGAGAGTCACTAGGGGAATATTCATAACAAGGAAATATTGGCAAATAAATGATGAAGAAGGGGAGGCAATCCCCAAGATGTTGAATTGGAGCACTGTCACCGAGATGATTAATGGTGCCGTGTGTCTTAGTGACGATGTGTCTCTGCGTTGTCTTAAAACTAGTGTGCATTTCCTCGTCCCTGTGCAAGAGCGTGCATGTGAGCACATGGAGGGGAGCAGGCCCTGGAGTGACTCGGGTTTTCTTTATTGCTCCACGTGAATCACCACCGTCTGCTGACTGGCTAGCTGGTCTAGATGCCTGTGGTACAGGGAAATTAACATAGGCAATGTTAATTACAGGGTATAAGGAAAGCTAACAGGCACTAAAGATTTTTTTTTTTATTCAGTGTTGGTTTTCTTCTCGGGGCTCTCAAGGAACAATGTAAGCAACAGGAGGAAGAAGGGGATTGCTCTGGACCAACTTCCAGGCAGGTAGTCACGGGTCTCAGGGCCACAGTAGGGAAAGGGCCAAACTTCCATCAACCCTGATCTCAATACCAATTTTTGAAAAGTCTTCCTCAGTGTTTGCTGAAGGGGTGGCTGTCTTAGCCTATCGTCTGACTCATAATAAGCCATGGCTGTCTTGCTTTGATGGCAGGAATTATCACTAGCCCTGAGGATTTTTAAAAAAATGACTGATGGCAGGTCCATTTGGGGGCAGGTTATTAATCCTCTTGGCCCTCAATAATTATCACGATGACACGTGATCCTTTTGTCAACGAGTTTCTCCTCTATTCTAGCAGCGCTGTTCAAACTATGGGTCCCTACCAAAAACAGTGAGCTATGACTCCAGGTTGGTTGGTCAAAAATTTTTTGAAAAGAAAAGGAACCAAATGTGATGATGTTTACCTAATAAGATGTGCCTCATTTTGTGAAGCTGCTGCTTCAGTGTCATGTATGTTTGTATATGTGTTTGCAAATATCACACATATGAGAGGCCTTCAAAAAGTTTGTAGCAAAATGAATGAAAAGATCATGCAATCTTCCATGAACTGTTCTAAGCCCCGCCCTGTCTTATATGTGCATGGGGTAGGTCATGAGGTAAAATATGTTCCTTGCTGTGGCTCATATCCTGAAAAGATTGAGCACCATTGTAATAGAGAGATGAGCAGGTAAATAAGCATAGTAATGAACATGGTATGTCATACCTACAGAGTTATCAAAAATAAAGGTGTAGACAGCTGTGTGAGCGGGGTCCAGGAATCTGGCCTCTCATATGCAATGTACACTGGAACCAGCTTCTATGGGCTGGTGAGAACCAATTGCATTCATCTCCTTCCCACTTGGTGATTGGTCATCTCATGTCATGACCTTGAAATCCAGGAAAGCATTTCTAGCTGGGATATAGGAAAATGTTACCATGTAAGCATCACCACCTTCTCCCTCCAGATCGGGTAGTTAGATGTGTGTCAATACATCACTGCTCCTATTCCTTCCAACTACAATCCTATGGCTCAATACTCACTGTGAATTAGCATACACTTCAGGACACATGATCTTACATGCTGCATTTCAGTTTTACTGGAATTATGAAAAGTTGCTGTTGTTATCTGCCTTTGAGTCACACCCAGACTCATGGGATCCCATGTACAACAGATGATCCCCATGATCAGACTGTTGTGATCCCGTGGTTGATTTTTTTGGAAGTAGATCACCAGATCTTTCATCCCAGTCTGTCTTTGGAAGTGCTGCTGAAACCTGTTTGGCCATACAGCGGCATGAAGCCTCCTTTGGCAGACAGGTGGTGGCTGCACACAAGGTGCATTAGGTGGGACTCAACCCCAGGCCTCCCTCATGCAAGGCCAGACTTCTACCACTGAACCAGCTGATGCCTTATTATTAAAAGTATAAGGTGTAAATATTTTCAGTGGTATTTAAAACAAACATGAATATAAAATCTGTAATTATTTCAAACTCAATTGTCTATAATATTGCCAATTTATAATTTCATATTGAAATGAGGGATTTTAGTGAAAAGAACAGAATAAGGCTTTGTTTCCCTCCAAAAACACTAACTATATTGTAAATATTTCAGTAGTCTGACTGTTCACGTTAAGCAATCTTTTTACTAGGGAAAGAAACTTTCAAATCCCAAATCCCTCTTCCCATTTTCAACTGTCTCTTACAGTTTGGGGAAGAAAGACAGGGCTTTTTACTTACCTACTGAATTACGGTCTTGGAAACTCACAGGGGCCAGTTCCTCCCAGCCCTAACTAGTCTCTATCAGGGGCTGTTGGCCTGATGGCCGTGAGTCTTTATGGTTTGCAATTAATATCCCTGCATTTGAATAAAGTCTTCTGTAATACAGTGGGGTTGTTTGAGAGAGTAAAGGCCTTTACAAATGAAAACAACCCAGAATTTAAAAAGCAAAGACAAAAGGAAAGGAGAAGCATAGGAAGGCTGAGAAGGCGAAAACAAGCTGCCTTGTGATGGAACACAAGGCCGGAGCATCATTTGAAGAAAGGCTCGAGATTGGTGCGTCAGGGGAAAGAAGGCTTCCATGAATGTGAGATCGATTGTAAAAGATCCATAGGAAATCACCTGTATTAAGAATATTTAATAGTGTGAAAGGTAACTAGGAGGAATTAATTGAGGAAAACCTTTATAGCTTCCACATTTCAAGCACAATTCTCCCATCTGGTTGGAGTCTACTACAGAAGCATTTGAGGAAGAGTGTGGTATACATAAAGCTGTGTCCTTTATGAGCATTTCACCAGCCCACCCTCTGCCAGTGAGTTTGTTTTTTTTATTTTGACTAATGGGAACCCTACAGAACAGAGCATTACTGCTCCTGAGACTCACTCGCTACAGAGGCAGACAGCATTCTCCAGCAAAGTGAGCGTTGGGTTTGAACTGCTCATCTGGTAGCTGGCAGCCTGCTGCTTAGCCCGCTGTGCTGCCTTTGATTCTCAGGAGATTGCAACTTGAGTAACTAAGTAAATTTTTTTTTTTTTAACATTTTATTAGGGGCTCATACAACTGTTATCCCAAACCATACACACATCAATTGTGTAAAGTGCATTTGTACATCGTTTCTCAAAACATTTTCTCTCCATTGAAACCCCCGACATTAGGTCCTCATTTTTCCCCTCCCTCCCTCATCAGCCCTTGATAGTTTATAAATGGGTATTTTGTCATATCTTGCCCTGTCCGACGTCTCCCTTCATCCACTTTTCAGTTGTCTGTCCCCCAGGGAGGAGGTCACACACAGTTCCCTGTAATCGGTTCCCTCTTTCCTACCCATTCTCCCTTTACCCTCCCTGTTTTGCCACTCACACCACT